ACTGTTCTTGTGTGACAGCTATTTTTGGCACAGAGGTCATGGACACTGATCTCATAGTAAAACAACATTGGCTGACTGCCTGTGAAGATCATGTGTGTGTCTGGTTGTATGTGTGTGTGTTTTGAGAGGGTGCTATAAAATATTTCTGCAGCTGTTGTGACATAAGACTCCCGATTGTATATCAACAATAAACACAGTTAAAAAAGACAAAAAAGAAACAATTTAACTATGTAGCCTACTTAATAATAATAATAGCAATAACCATAATAGAAGCACAAAAAGCAAGGACAACTAACCAAATTAACAAAATCTGAACAAGTCAGCAAAACTAGGCAGGCAAAATGTTCTTATTCTGAAATGCTTCATGTGGATGTAGCCATGCAGCGAGCAGAGAAAACGGCTCACAGAGAGCGGTTATCTGTAGTTAAAGCACACAGAATGACAAATTAACAACATGTCAACAACTTAGGGCAGGCTAAACGCTCCACCGCTGAAACACTTGAGTGTCAGTTGAACGGGTGAAGTTGAAACGGGTCAGATGGAAAGTATCTCAGTACAATACAGTATAGATACTGTATAATTAACCTATAGACAACCTATATGTAATAAACAAAGAAAGAAGGAAGAGGAAGTGTAAAACTATGAGGATGTGAAGAGATGTCAAAGTATGAGGAAGAAAACAAACACAAAGCATCATGTGTTTTATGAAACATTTGCATCGAGCACAGTCAACCTTGAGAAGTCTAACTTTTCTTACAAAGAACACAAGAGCTTTGACCGCACACAGACTAGAAGATATGTACTTCAAGATGTTGCTTGTTTTCTCAGGAGCAGTTTGCATCTATGGACAAAGTAAGTATGGCTATTTACTAATAATTGTTTTGATTGATTGATTGATATCTTTATTTCGAACATGTAAAAATCTTTCCTTTTGTATAAATATAAAATAGGATCTAAAATTATAAATTTATTTGTAATTTTTTTTACGAATGTCTTACCAGTGTAAACAGTTGTTTCTGAATTCATATGTGGATTGTTACATTTTTCTAGGAAGTTATGAATTTTGTTACACCTATGGATGCTCTGACTCAAGCGAATCTCAATTCTGTGCGACACTGGATGGTGATGAAGTATGCTATGCAGACTTTAAAAAAGGAGTCCTTTTTTGGGATAGCCGACTGCCTACAAGTTTAAGATTGCTGGAGCCTACGAATATGCAACACTCACACCATTTGCGTGCAGATATTTTTTAGATTTATGGAAAAAAGACAAGTCAGCTACAACAAAGACTAAAGGTAAGTGATACTCAACATACTGATGTTACATTCACTGTCTTCCTTTAACATAGATACCATATCCATTTGGCATGTTTTAACAAAAATATATAACATTAACAGAACACCATTTTATCATTATTATGTGTGAATTTAACCCTCAGAGGAACCAGAAATGATCATTTACCCCAGAGATGAAGTGAAAAAAGAGGAAGAGAACACTCTCATCTGCTTCATCAACCATTTCTTTCCTCCCTACATCAACATAAAGTGGACCAAGAATGATGTAGAAGTAGCAGAGGAAGATCCTTTCATCAGATGCTTACCCAATCCTGATGGGACATTTTATGTTTTTTCCACTCTGGACTTTGTCCCAAAGGAAGGAGACATCTACAGCTGCACTGTGAAGCATGACTCACTGGAGACGCCTCAGACCAAGTTTTGGGGTGAGAGACTTAATGTTTTGTATAGGGTGACCAGATGAGAATGGGGGGGGGGGGGGGGGGGCGTGGCTACCGGTACATTTAGTGTCAATGAACATTAACACACATGAAAGTCAAAACACAATGCTAAAATTTATTATTTCTGTTCATGAAGTCACCTGTCTATCATTAGGGAAAACACAACAACTGTGGATGTGTGAATGTAACAGAGGGTAAATCATGATCTCTTATCTAATTTTTATTTTTATTTTGTTCATTTCATCAATGCACTGTCACGTCTGTCTGCGCAACGTGCATGTTGGATGTTGGGTTTCTGTAAATAATATCACAGAGTACAGTCTAGACCAGCTCTTTTATGAGCACTAACTGTTGTTGTGATTTGGCGCTATAAAAATAAAATTGAATTGATTTGAATTGAAGATCTCTCCTCCTTCGCTGCCTGAAGCTACACTTTCCTTGTCCTCGCAACTGTAACTTCCACTAACCACAAGAAAACATAAGAAAAGAGCACGAACTACACAACGATCAGTATTTAATGATTAATTAGGCTATAATTTAAACCGATGTTAAGTCTAATTTTCTGGACAAACCGAACAGGAGTCAGGACAACTGCTCGTAAATCGGGACTGTCCCAAATTCCCGACGACTGGTCACCCTAGTTTTGTAGTATCTTAATATTCTCCTGACTGCTCTGATAGATATGTAGAAGTCGATGAAATGAAATAAGATTTGTGTTTTTAACTTCAGATTTTAATTATTTTTCTCTTGTTCTCCCCAGAGGTTGAAACAAACGAGATCAGTATTGGTCCATCTGTCTTTTGTGGGCTTGGCCTGAGTCTTGGACTTCTTGGAGTTGCTGCAGGAATACTCTTTTTATGAAAGCAAACCAGTGTCCAAGCCTCCTGGAGGCCTAGATTAAGACGTAAACCTTATCCAGCACTGTGATCACATTGTCCCTGGTTTGTTTGTCGAGTGACATTTGTTTCATGTCATCCTCCTTTCTCTCTTCACTTGTTTCATGATACCTTTCAACTGTCCTCTGCCAAGTCATGTCTCTATGCTAACCTTTTTACCTTAGGAGCACACAAAGACATTTAAGTGCACAGTGAAAAATGTTGAAGTCACACAGTTTATTAAGAAACGAGTGAAATGAGTGGAGGACTATGGAAATGAAGATGCTGGTATCTGGTATGGGAAAAAAATATTGTCAAAGCTTTTCAAAATATTGAAACAGATTTTTTGAAAATTTGATACATTGAAAATGCTTTTAAAATACTGATCACTCTTATGTTTGTGTATAATGAGCTGTCAAGCAGCCACAGATCGACTCGCCCATCCAATGTGATTAACATGTGAATTCATGCTTTGTCTGGTCTGTCCACAAGATGACAATCAAACAACTTTTAAAATGCTTGTTTTCTAAATGGCGTTTGGATCGACCACGGCTATCCTTTGCTTACTTGTTTCATAGCAAAGCAATCAAGTATTGGACACATATTTTACAAAAAACTTTAATTAAAAAGTTAACTGAATAAGATAAATAAACTCTGAGCTCATCCCACTGGTAAACAGCTTCATATTACAGCAGAATCCAGTCCGACTGCGGGTGTTTATTTGTCTCTCCTCCAGAGCTCCCTGTCACTCAGTAGCTGTAGAGCAGCGGCTGTGTCCGTCCGCTCTAGCCGCTCCTCTCCACACAACACTCTGAAAAGCCGATACAAGCAAGTGTTTTTTTAACTCAAGTCGAATATTTTTTATTTTTTACTACCGCGAAATGCTCACGTTGCACATTACAAGAGGCTGTTGGACAGCTTATATTTTTTAATTTAAAATATTTCTACACGGCAGATATTTAGCTGCATCCTGCCACAAACTGCTCTCTGTTTATGACACTTGTGTGACAGCTAAAGCAAAACAAAGGATTTGGCTTTGGTTAGTGCTCAATGAAGCCGATACCATCAGTTAAAAAATGCCTTGATCAGCCTGTACCCCGATCGCTGATTGGGACCGCCGTAATATCTGTAATTCACTGATTTTTTTTCTTTTGTGCTGTTTTTCAAATTTTATTTAATTTTATTTGTGTTGTCACTTGTTTAAATTGATTGTGTTTATTGGTCATTGGGTTTTTTTATACCATTTTTAACTCAATAAATGCCCCCAATTGCAACTGAGTCATTGAGCATTGACTGTAGGAGCATATATAAATGTGTATTAAGCTTAAATAACTACCACGAAGTTTGATAACTTCTTTTCCACCTAAACTATCATTTGCAATGAGGTCCCTCAGAGCCGTATTTTGGGTCATATCCTCAGACTACAGTATTAACTTATCTTGGACAAATCATTCAAAGACAGTTCATTCCTTTTTATGCTGATTCACCACACACTGTTTTGTTTCATTTCAGTGCTACGGTACATGATTTTAAATGTTCTAGAGATTCTTCACAGTGGCAGTTTAAGTGTCTTGATTTCACGGCATAGTATGACTGCCATTAGTTTACTGCTAAAGGTTGGGTATTAAGGGTTATGTTTTTGGAAAATCAGACTTTTAACCCGAGCAAGCATCAGTGTTAGGAAAAGATGAGTGAGAACGTCATTCCTTGCATGAAATAAGTCTCTGTTCAGAGTATCCCAAAAATAATTTGACCAAGAATTAGCGAATTTTTTCAAACAAATTTGCTGCTAGACAATAATGTAACTTTGATACAAAAGACATGCAAATTACAGTAATGTTATAGACATGAGCGTCTCTGAAACTGCCTTCACCAAAAGTCTTAAGGCCAATTTATATTTGTGCCCCATAGGCACGTCCCTAGCCTGACGCGCACCTCCCCAAAAGTGGAGCTAATTAGCAGAGTTTCAGGAGCGGGACCACACATCATTGCCAGCATTTCCATAAATATCCACACGTTACATCTCCTCTTCTTTGCTCTCGCATTCTGCATCCCCCCCCCCCCCCCCCTTTCTCTGTCCTGATCTCCTTCTTCCAATAGGAAAATCTGGGAAATCTTCCCGATAGGGAAATCTGCACGACGTGCCCAGGTGCTACGGCTTGGTGTTACGGCTTGTAGCTTCCCCACAACGTTTTTGAATGTCTATTCAGCAAATGCAAGCCTTGTAAATCTTTCTGTTTCGATCATCAATAAATTATTTAATCGTATCTGTTGATTGTGTGGTCCTTGCTAGTGAAATGTAACTACTGGTTGCGGCAACACAGACATCAAGAACTGTGATTGGTAGGCTTATTTCCCCCTACATATTTCTGGCTTGTCCTTTTAGCACTTCAACCGGTCTGGGCAAAGAGGTGGGTGTATTCTTTCATTTTGTTGACATTTCAGTGTACCTGTACCTGTGTTTATTTCCTGTATCTGTGAACACATAAAAGCTCCACACCACAACAGCTTTGTTCCTGTAGTTACCTACTCGTGGGACAACATGTGCAGTCACAGTTTTCTTTTCTGTGTGGTTTTCTCTCTTTTCAGTCCAGGTGAGTTACATTACTCCTCTATTTGTATGCATCAGTGAAATGTTTTAGTTTTAGTTATGATATAGTAAAAAAATATATATGAATACATTTCTGTCTCTCATATTACAGTTTTCTCAGATGAAGATTATTCACAAATCAGAGCATGCTGTACATTCAGGGGTCCAGGCTTAGAAGATGTAGAGTATATCATTACAGATACTTTTAACAAGAAATTAATGATCCAGTACAACAGCACAAGAGGCAACTGGACAGGATTCACAGCCTCTGCAATCGGAATAGAGCCATCTTGGAACAGTGATCCCGATGACGCAAGACAAAGACAATTTGAAAAGAAATCACTGTGTCTTGACATCATAGATTACATCCAACAAATAGGTAAGAGCATTTTTCTTAAGATTACTTAAAACCAAATGTACTATATGGATTTTAAAGAACTGTTGTCATGCACATAGACTTATTTCATGGCTGACATTTTTCCCATGAACAAATATTTCACCACAGACTCATCTTTGATACATGACAATATGTATATCTGATCAAAAAAGTTGCTATCCAGAAACAGAAATGGTCTATTGATGTTTTACCCAATAGAAGATATGAAACAATAACTTGTTTTTTCAGGTAATCTTACAGCTGTACCCACCATCAAGCTGAATTCAATGAAGCACCCACCCATGCTTGTGTGCAGTGCCTATAACTTTTATCCGAAACAAATCCGAGTAATGTGGTTGCAGAACGGGCAGGAAGTGACCTCAGGTGTCAGTTCTTCTGAAGTGATGTCTGATGGGGATTGGTATTACCAGATTCATTCCTACCTGGAGCACACCCCGACTACAGGAGAAAAAATTACCTGCGTGGTCGAACACTTCACCCTCTCTGAACCAGCGCTTCACGTCTGGGGTAAGTGTGCAGCTGTGATGCAAATTTTATGTAGGATAAGAAAATGTATAAATAAAATCATCTTTTTCTCACAATTTTAGACCCCTCCCTTCCTGTGCCAGAACGGATTAAAATTGTAGTGGGACTGTGTGGTCTGATGCTTGGTTTTGTGATTGTGAGCTCTGGATTCATCTACTACAAGAAAAAGTCTGCCGCATTCTCCACTCTCTACCAAGGTGAAGAAATAAGAGGAAATTGATCATTGTAAAGTTAATTGATTGTAAATGGAATTCACTTCTACAATACTACTGTTATATATTTTCTACTGTGGTAAATTATTGTTCTACTCCTCATTTTAACAGAACAAGGGTCGATTCCCGTGGAACAACTCCCTGCAGCTGGAGCAACTTAGCAGTCTGAACAAACACCATTTTTCAGCACATACCATCTATATGATGATATGATGTGATGGTTATTCTCATAATTGTCACTATTGGGTGTAGGGCTGAACGATTAATTGCATTTTCTAATGGCAAAGGCTGCGATTACGTGCGACAGTAAAGCAGTCCCTTGACTTGTTGTTGTACAATGGCTTTAAGCTTGACAGAAGCTGACACTACAGAAACTTTAGTGTCACACAGGGAATGAAAGTGGCACCCGCCAACCGCGGGTAAATTGGTGTTGTTGGTGGGTGAAATCTTCTGGCCAACCGCCGCTTTGGTGGACAGGACAAATGTACAACAGAAAGACACATGTAGTAAGATAAGCGTATTGTGGTGATCGGCGCCTGTGTCACACACACAGCCACCAGTCAGCTCAGTAACTATCTTTGTAACGGCGTTTCAAACCAAACTCACAAGTCCCGTCTGTCCCGAGTTACAGCCTGGTTACAGCCTACTGCTTACCTGCATCGGAGGCTGCGGGGGAGGGCGGGGGGACTCCGGTGTTGTCGGAGAATTACTAAGCTTGTCTATTAAAGACGAGAGGCGTCACTTGGTTTTATTTTCGTTGGCCAACTTTTAAATTGAACCTCAAACTGAGTGTTTTTTGAGGTTTTTGATTAGAGATGGACTGAGATAAGGACCTTAATTGGTGGTTGTGTATAATGTTATATCATATTATTAATGCCATGACTTGACTCTCAAATTATCTTTATCATATTATAATAATTTGATACTTCTTCTCCACCATTGCTCATAATATAATTCATGCAATTAAAGCATCACCTAATTTCATCATAAAACAGGCCTGGCCTACAAGAAAGAACAGTGTATGTTTAATCTGTATATCTATCTATCTAAAACATGTCTAATCAATAAATCTATATTTTATTCAATCATCCTGATGAAGCACATTAAAATAATGACAATAGTAGCAAATCTTAAAATGAAATTTCCACGTCAATGCTGTGTTGTGATAATAACAATAACAGACATTAATTAGGCTACATTACTTAAGACTTTAAATGTTTCTGACATGGATTAATTTCAATATTGAGTAATACATAAAATATGAAACGACCGAACATTAGATGACACGCGGTGTAACGTTACGTTACCATGACAGCAGCAGGACAGAAATTACTTTTAGAAGGCAATAAACGTGTCCTCGTGCTGATAATGTGCAGCGCTTGTGTGGCGACAGAAAGTAAACACGACGACGTCTTGTAGCAGGAGCTTGTGGGAGAATCCCACCGGATGCAGCGACGCGTCGTTGCGCATTACGTGCGTCGACGCGTCGTATTTACGTAACCGATTACGTCGACGAATCGTCCCAGACCCAATTAAATCGCAATTGCAATGTTGGTAAAAAAGAAAATCGCAATTAGATTATTTTCCAAAATCGTTCAGCCCAAATTGGGTGGTGGGTGGGGCTTTACAGAAGGAAGATAAGATTTATGGAAATAGTGAAACGACATGTATTCATTGCTGCTTATCAACTTTCTCAACTGTAAGAACACTGTCACAAAATAAAGTGTTTGCATTAAATAAAATCTGTTTATTGACATGTTGGCCTGTTCTTCCCCGGAGTTAATGAAAGAGCAGTATTGGGCCAGGCAGTCATGTCATAAGGAATCAATATGAATTAGGCTTAGTAACCTGCATATCTTTAATAACTTAACTTTCTCTAATTGTTTTAGAGTAGTGTTTCTCAACATGGGGGAGCCTCCAGCTGTGAAGGGAAGTGTTTCAGTGTCCATGAGCATCAGTGAGCACCCTTCTTCTGTCATCATTGATCAAGTTGCACATTGTGAGCCAGGCTGTAGGCTGGTGTTACATTCAAGATACAATTTTGTTTATTAGTCATTATACAGCACAAGGCTGTATAACAAAACGAAATTTGAAGTTCCTTCATGCTACCCAGACACACCCGCCGTGGTGCATGGTACGGTTGTTTGGGCCGGGTGGATTGTGGTCTGCTGCCCTTTAATCCAAAACCCCCCTCTTCATCTTCCAATGACTGTATTTTGGCAATAAAGCCAGAAAAAAATTATAAAAAACAAAACTGTAGCGAAGACCTATATGGTCCACAACTGCACTTCAAAGAAAGAGGGCTGCACGTCAAGGCCTTAAATAATCAGAATGATTTACCATAGTTATTGAATATTTGGATTTGTATGCTGTAAAGCATTTTGGATCAATTGTATTGTGTGAGAAGTGCTATATAAAAACTTAAGTTGAGATTATTTTTTAAATTTACAAAAACAACTGCCTTCACCTTCATATTGAACTTAATAGAAATATCAATAAAATCTTCTGTCTCACTCTCTCTCTCTAAATATATATATATATACACACACACATATATATATATATATCCATATATATACAGTATATATATATATATTATTAGAGAGAGAGTATATATATATCCATATATACAGTATATATATATCTATACAGTATATATATATATATATATATATATCCACTGAAGTTATCGTCAAGAACTTTGAGGTTTTAAATTATTTGCCTAAATTATTTGTTTTAAATTATTTGCCTCTGTAAAACAGTTTACAAAATCAAGGCATCAAATATAATGAGCTACAGTGTAGTCCATCCATCGTCAACCAGGGGGGGCTGGAGCCAATCCCAGCTGACACGGGGCAAAAGGTGGGGTACACCCTGGAAAGGTCGCCAGTCGATCACAGGGCCACAAATAGACAGTCAACCAAATTCACGCCTAAGGACAATTTTGGAGACACCAATTAACCTAGCCTGCATGTCTTTGGATGGCGGGAGGAAGCCAGAGCACCCGGAAAGAACTCAGGCGGACACAGGGAGAACATGCAAACTCCACACACCGGGGTTTGAACCATGACCTTCTTGTTGTGAGGCAACATTGCTAACCACTGCACCACCGCACCGCCTGACTATCCACTTACAGTTTAGATAACTAAACTGTGACATTTGTGTTCCATTATTAATTTTTTTATATGAAATAGTTGTAATGCAAGAAAATGCTGAACTAGTTTACAGGGTGTTTAACTGAAAATTTCACATTTTTTAAGAAAGCTGAATTATTTGGTACAAAGCTTTTGCCATCATAATCCCAGATATTCTCTCCATATTGATTAAAACAAATCATTTTAGACTTGATTCTCAAACAAGAATGTACTGTATGCTAGTAATATGTTTGTTTATTTTTAAAACTAAACCATATGGACACAACAAAAAGTAGTGTCACACGTCATTGCTTGACTAAAATGAACTTTTCCACTGAATGCAGTTTTGTACAGTGTTAACTGCTGTGTTTTTGCTTCTGCTGCTTAGACCAGTCTTCTTTGGATCTGCTCTGTAATGTGTACTGTACCTGCCCTTATTGCACCTGGCACTGTTGGTGTGACTCTGCCAAGAGTAAAGCAATGCAGGAACTAAAACCATTTCCTGATACATGAGCCAAACAAACTTCAAATTGTATTTCTTTGTTTATGATTATCATCATGCCAACTTCCTGTTTTTTTTTACAGGATTCTCTTTTTACAGTTGTGCCTTTATTTATTTAGTTTGCCAAGCCCTTTCTCATCAGCAGTAGGGATGCACAGTTTTCCCAGATTACAGTAGACTGTAGATGGAGAAGCTGATATTTTATGCAAGACCAAACTAAGATAACACATGTGGTCAATTCTGTTCTTTTCCCTTGCTCTGCTTTTCATGCTCATCTCTCTGTCTCAGCAGGTTTGTAAGAAGTACACTGTTTTTCTCTCTATCTATGCATAATTAATGGTTTTCCCCAAGTAACCAGAAAATCAAGTTGTACCAAAACACTCCAGAGTGGAACAGAAGGGACAAACGGCTTATGTAATATGGAGGGAGTGCTGTTTATCAACCAACTGAAGGAGGCCCGTGAAAAAATCACCGATTGTTGATCAGGGCTTGGTCCTTTGAAAAAGTAGAGGTGAAGACTGACAATATTGTTTATTGCTGGTAGTTTGTGTGTGTGACCACACATGCATATGTTTGTGACACAAATTACATCAATCAAAAATCAGCATTACTACTAATGCATATCACACTTAGCATTAGGGTTGGGCCGATAGACGATG